TGCTGGTTTAATTGTACTATAACAGAAACACTCTTACTTTTTATTGTTTTAATTTTAATTTTTTCTTTTTTTGAGAGAGAATCTTGCTGTATAGCCCAGGCAGGCCTAAAACTGACTATGTAGATCAGGCTGGCCTTGAATTAATTGTCAGTCTTTCTACCTGAGCCTTTAGAATACCGGGATCTCAGGTTCATACTCTATATTAGCATACATTAATTGCACAAAAAAAAGTTTTATTGTGATATCTTCAGACATCCGTGTAATGTACTTTGTGTTCATGTTCCATTACCCTTCTGCTTGGGATAGTTCCCTTATTAGTCTCCAGGGACTCTTTTGGTACTAAAGATTAAACTCAGAGATTTATGCATGCTAGGCAGGAAGGAGCTCTACCACTGAGCTGAATCTCCAGACGGGTGGGTGTGTGTGTGTTTCCTTCTTCCTCCCTCCCTCCCTTCCTCCCTCCCTCCCTCCCTCCTTCTTTCCTTCCTTCCTTTCTTTCTTTCATGATAAGTCTTCACTAATTTTGCCAAGTTGCCCGTGAAGTCACTGTGTAGCCTTAGGCACACCTTTCATTTGTAAAGAAGCTTTTTAATTAGGTTCAATTCCACTTGGTGATTCTTGTGAAGTCTTTGCCTGTTTGGTTCTTTGTACTTTCTTTACGTTTTCTCCCAGTGTTTTCAAAATATGAGGTCTTTTTTTGGGGTGGGGGTTGAGACAGGATTTCTCTGTAGCTTTGGTGCCTCTCCTGTAACTCACTCTATAGATCAGGCTAGCCTCGAACTCGCAGAGATCTGCCTGTGTCAGCCTCCCCAGTGCTAGGATTAGATGAAAGGCATGTGCCACCACCACCTGACAATTTCAGGTCTTATAGATAGGTATTTGAATTGTTGTTTTGTTTTGTTTTGAATACTGGCTAAGTGGAGGGATCTATTTTCATTCTTTTACATGTGAGTATTCGGTTTTCATGACACCATTTTCCAGAGAGGCTGTTATTCCCAAGATGGGCTTTGAATGCATTGTTGAGAGTTCTGTGGATGTAGCTCTATGAGTCGTTTTTGGATCGTCTCTTTTAGTCTTGCCTTCTTTTGGGTGGTAACCGTTTTGTTTTCTTCAGTGGTGCACTATTGTGTAATGTGAAGTTATGTACTATGGTATTTCTAACTTGTTCCTTTAGGTCAGGATTGCATGAACTGTTTGGGGTCTTCATGGTTTTTTTCTAAATTTTAGACTTTTATTTTTCTATTTCTGTAACAGTATCATTGGAATTTTGTTGGAGATTACATTAAATCTGTAAATTTTGTTCATTGATGTTGTCATGTTTACAGTATTAGTTTTACTGATCCCTGAACATTAGAGATGCTTCTACCTTCCAGTGTCTCCTTTAGTTTCTTTCTTCAGTGTTTCATAGCTTTTCTTATAGATGTTTTTTACTTCGTTTGTTGGGTACATTCCTTGAAAATGATTCAACTTCTTTGCATATAATATTTGCCACCTAGTAGTTAGTAAGCGCTGAACTTATCAAGTGTGTAGTACAGTGTAAACTTGTTAAATGTGTGTTGATACTTTTTTGCTTCTTTACTGAATCTTTGTGATCTGGTCATATTTATTCTAGAACTGTCTTATTTGAGGTGATTTTATCTCTGACTGTATATAGCTGCAGTATGCTTTTGTGTGCATACAGGTGCATGTTTGTACATATATCTGGAAGTCAGATGACAACCTCACTGACATAGAACCTGTCAAATAAACTAAGCTGGCTGGCCAGGCTGCCTCAGCTTCCCCAAGGCTGGGATTATAATCACAGACCACCACACCCAGCTTTTTAACATAAATTCTAGGGATTAAACACATATCCTTGTGCTTTTGAGGCATGCATTTGCCAACTAATCCCCAGAAAGAGTTTTAAAAATATGCTTTGTCTTTCTCTTTTCCATTTTAATTTCTTACCTGAAATCCAAAACAATTTTAACACCATTTTTATATTCATTAGGATGGCACTTGTACCTGGGTTAGTTGTTCCACTTAAAATTTATCCATTTGAAATTCTTAATTATTTTTTGCTTTTGTTTTTGTTTCTGTAGACAGGGTTTTTCTGTGTAACAGTCCTGGCTGTCCTGGAACTCCCTCTGTAGACCAGGCTGGCTTTGAACTCACATCTATCCACCAACCTCTGCCTCCCAAGTGCTGGGATTAAAGGCATGCACCACCATGCACAGTGATTTTGTTTGTTTTGTAAATTATTTTATTTCATTTTATATGCATGGGTGTTTTGACTGCATGTATGTCTGTGTATCACACACATACCTGGTGCCTGAGGAGGCCAAAGAGGGCGTGGGATCCCCTGGAACTGAAGTTAACAGATGGTTGTGAGCTGCTATGTGGGTGCTAGGAATCAAGCCCAGATACTCTGAAGAGCAGCATGTGCTTTAGCTAATGAGCCAACCACCTTTCTAGCCTTGAAATCTTGGTTTTGAAAGTATAAATTATTTGATATTGGCAATTTTTATACCTCATCTTAAATATATGGCAGCTTCTGTGTATTGAAATAGGTATATTGGGACACTAGAAAGATGAGACAGAAATAAGAATTGACTATTGTAGCATTTCGGGTGACATCAGAGTTTTCTTTCATAGTTCAAATTTTAATATATAATAAGAATTAGTGATTTTATTCTGGCTATATTAATGACCAAATATGATGTGGATTATCTATATCAATGTTTTGTATTTGAACTGTTTTTAGTGTTCATTTTAGTAAGAAACCTCAGAATAAAATAATGTTTTAATAAAGATATCTAGGTGTGATGATGCATTTCAAAATAACTAAAAGTATTTAAGAGGTGTCCATGAGAGTACTTTGTTGATTTAAAAGCCAAAACCATTGGAATTTTAAAGTATCTGTGAAACAAAAGACTTCAGTAATGGTGAGGAATAACTGGGCTGTTTATAGACAGCTAAATTAGAAGGTTGAGAGCCATTAACTGCATGGCTCTCGTGTGAGCTGGGGTAGAGTACTTTATGTGTTAGAGAGTAGGACAGAATGTTGAGAATAGCAGTGGAATGAACATAGAGGAAGCTGTGGGTTTGTGTGTACTCTATAAATCAGGGCCATCAAAACATTGGCCACTTGACCAGTCTTTATTTGAAAGACTACCAAGTTGTAGGTTAATGTCTTCATGCAAGACACTAACAGTGTTTTAGTTAAGATAGATATGCTTTTAACACTTTTTATGAATGAGCAAAATTTTCTTAAAGTAGATACAACGTTTAGTTGAAAACATTTGATAATACCTATCACTGTTTTGTAACTATTGATTTTTCTGATGAATATATCTTTTCCCTTGATTTGGTGGCTAAATTTGGCTTTTTTCTCCTTCCAGTTAGTGTCTTCCTTTCCTGCCTCTTTAATGTTAGCTTTTTCTACTGTTCAGTCCTTGATTCATCTTTTTTCATTAGATTGATGTTGGGCAAAACACATTCATTACCATGGGCTCCTTTCCTTATAGCCTTAGCATTTGTTATTATTTACTCTTTATTTTGTCTTTACCTATTGTAAAATTCTGTAAGTCTTTTAAGGCTCCATCTTTGGTTTAAGGTCTAATTTCACTTAGATCCTGGTTTTGACTCTTACCTCCCTGGTATTGTTTATTCTCCATGCTTAGCAGAGTGCTAAGGTGGCAAACATTTGGGCCGATGACTTCATCAGTTGGATAATACTCACTGTGCTTACTTTGCTGCAGTAGATGATATTCGGACTAACAGACCTGTACACGTGCTCTCGTACCAGCATTTAGGATTAAGCTGTGAGCTGCTATTGTCTTGAGACAGTGTTGCCATGGTTGACAGCTTGCTTCCTAGAGCAAGAAGGCTGCTTTGATTCTAATTCCAGTTCTTCCGCTCACCACTGAACAGTCTTCAAAAAATTACCTAGCCTTTCTGTGCCTCATTTTCCTAGTAGATGTGATATCTGCTTCAAATCTGGGAATCAGTATTACGTACATATGTGTTACTATTTCCTAGTTTTAAATAGTTCCATTTATTTGGGCTGAAGTAAAACAGCCAGTTATGCTTACATGGGGGTAGTATAGAGTTTCTGGAAAGCAGTATAATGTATAGTGAAAATTTTATAGCTATTTCTGTTCATTAATTTGCGTTTTAATCATCTCAATAAAATCTAAACTAATCCTTTAATACAATGAAAATGATAATATTTGAGACACTTGGATGTTCTAGATTTATGATGGTTGCAAACATCTTAAATCTTTGGTAAGAAAGGAATGTTTCAATATATAATTGAATATTATCCTATGATTGAAATGCTTATGTTTTAATGACATGCTAGTAGTTATGATGCAATAGTAATAATATGAAAAACAAAATACTTAAATGTTTTTAAAAATCATGAAATGTAAATATTACAGTACTTAATTTATAGTTGCTTTGGGGTCAAGTGAACCACGGTCAGACTAATAAAGTAGGTTACAACATGTGCTTTAAAAAAAGTCAACTTGCTGGGCAAGAGTGGCCCACGCCTTTAATCCCAGCACGTGGGAGGCAGAGGCAGGCGGATCTCTGTGAGTTCGAGGCCAGCTTGTCTACAGAGTGAAATCGAGGACAGGCATCAAAGCTACTGAGAAACCCTGTCTCAAAAAAACAACAACAAAAAAAAGTCAACTACATGAGGAAATGTGAAAGATTTTTAGATATTTTGTAGTTTTAAGTCACTTTATTGCTATTGCTCATTTTTATATTTTTATTGTAAAACTAGTCACTGTTAGTGTAAATAAACATAGTATCATATTTCCATATAGACAGATGTCTTTATTTGTTAACATTGAAATTTACTTCTGATTTTCTTTCCTTTCGATCCCCTTAGTTTTGCTCTTAGTAGTCAGTTTAGTATCCTTTTGTCTTTAACTGAATCGAAGACTGATTTTTTTATCATGATGTTGAAAATGTGGTTTACATTAGAAATTTTTCTCCCTTTCTTTAATCTACAGCAATTGGAACAGATCCAGAAGGAACTGAGTGTTTTGGAAGAGGATATTAAAAGAGTGGAAGTAAGAAATCAAGAAATTCTTACATTTCTCATGGCTTTTCTTTACTCTTCATTACAGTTCATCTGGTGCAGTGGGACAAAGTCTGAATACTTTTTTGAAGATAAATTGTGATCTAAGTTTATATTGACTTTTATTGCTGTAATTCTTGATTAAATGGAATAAAATCTGCTTAATTTTCTGTTTGCAATCAAATTAATTTAAATAGTTTCCTACTAACCCTTCATTATTTTCTTAAAACAACATCATTATTTCATTGTTTTATTGAGTAATTTTTTTAATTTTTAAATTTCTGCTACATGTATTAATTACTATATACTGATGTTAAGTAGAAGTGATGTAAATACATTAGCAATATTGTTGGAGTTCATAGTAAAATACAGATTACTTATAGAAATTCATTGGGAGTTCATAGGTTTGTGAGTTGAGGTTTAATTTAATTTAAATTTAGTGTGTGCCTAAATTATCACACACATGATTTCCTTTTGCTGACATGTAAAACATTTCAAAGGATAATGAGTGTTGTAGTGTTTAATGCGAACTCAGTATCCCTTATATTTCTAGTTTGTTATATTTATATCACCTGTTCCTCTATTTTTGAGCCAAGCCAGAAATAATTTTGCCTGATTATGTCTATAGTTGTATTTTCATATTTGCTGTTTTTCTATGAATCAAAATGTTGTACATAAGTAAAAAGGGAGGCCGGTCAGTGAGATTCAGAGGTGTAAATTTATGTGATCATCTATGATCAGCCCCGTTCCTATGAGATAATGAGCAAAAATTATAATTTATATCATTGTTAAATAAAGTCAGTCATTGATTCAAGAAGTGTTACTTTTATTAGGGAGTGATAGATATATTCCAGTTTTTGTCATTTACTTTGAAGATTTGAATGTTGTAATCCAGTCACCATCCCATCTTATTTATCCTAATATACATTAATAGGTCATCACCTGCAAGAATAGTCAGTTCACTGTGTACAAAATAAGCTGTATGTCCTCTCTGGTATACTTCCTTTTGACTTTTTCTGCATTCAGTACTTTCATTAGTTAGAACAGTATTTAATGGGATTTATAGTCCTTTAACACTAGGAAAAGCTTCCTTCTTAATTTCAGATCAATTTTGCTTTTGTACTCTATGGAAAAGAATCCTTGAGAGGTTTGGGTTTGAAGACAGAAAGGGACTGATGAGAACCTGGGGCTAGAGCAGACTATAATGCCATATGCCTTTTTGAAATATACATTTTCTGTTTGGAGTGTGTATGGTAACTCAAATAATTGCAATTTCAGGAAATGAGTGGCTTGTACTCCCCTGTCAGTGAAGATAGCACAGTGCCTCAATTTGAAGCTCCTTCTCCATCACACAGGTACAGTGCTTCACATTAGTGATTGTTTGGGATTTTGTATTATGTGTTCATGGTACTCTAGTTCTCAGGAACCTTTTTAATGCAGACTATAAAACCTTTGAGAAATAAAATGCAGATAGCCAATCATTTTTCTTGATCCTTTGGATTAAGTTAGTAAGTAGGTGTTACAGTATTTTAAATTTTGAGATGGATAAAAAGTTTGGTGAGTTTTTTGATGTCTTGTAAATTAATGTCATATTTCAATTCAAAAATTGGAAACATAAAACGGTAATATTAGAGGAAATGAGATGGAAAACAAAACAAAACAAAAAACTTTGGTCCTAGCACATGTCTTTAAATCCCAATACCCAGAAGGTAAAGGTAGGAAGATCTTTGTGAGTTTGAAGCCAGGACGATCTACATAGTAAGTTTCAAGGTAGCTAGGGGTACAAAGTAAGACCTATTCTTGAAAAGATAATGATGAAAAAGAATTTTAAATCTTTTTTTTCCAACTCACTGTATTTTGGGGTGTTGGTTACTCTGCACATTTTAGAATGAGGACATTAGAAAGATATGTTAGTTTAAGTCTTCCTGGTATTCTTTTTTTTTTATTATTATAATTCTTATTATCTATCCTGGGCTGGTTTTGAACTCAGAATCTTTCTATAATGGTTCGACTTGCTTCCCAAGTGCTTTATAGTGCTAGGATTACAAGGTGTGTACCTCCATACTTGGCCTTGGGAAGTGGTATGTGTGGGTAAGTGTGTTGGTGGGTAGTTGAAGCTGAGATCTTGTTAAGTTCAGATTCATAGTCTTTTCATCTTCAATATCCATAGTGGCTGGAATTTTGGGCACATTACCATGCCTGTCCTTGTATTCCTATTCTTGTTAGCTTGGGAGATGGAAGCTTGAAGATTAGGAGTTCAAAATCACCCTTGATTTCATACCTAGTTAAAGGCCAACCTAAGTTACATGAGACCATGTTTCAAAAAAACAAAAATAAGTAAAAAAAACTCCATTTTACAAATTACTAAATCTTATCTGTCTGCTTCATTACATACAGCAGGAATTATATTATATACAATTATATATCTCTTGCTCCAACTCCCTAGATTTTGGAATAACACTTAGCTTCATTTGACTCTTTATAGAATAAAGTAAGTGAATGTGATACCTTTTAGCTGTAAAATTTATTTCATTAAATATGTGCAGCCAGGTGGTGGTGGTGCATGCCTTTAATCCCAGCACTTGGGAGGCAGAGCCAGGTACTGGCTGGTCTACAGAGCGAGATCCAGGACAGGCACTAAAACTACACAGAGAAACCCTGTCTGGAAAAAACAAAAAACAACAACAACAAAAAAGAAAAAAAAAAGAAATATGTATTACCTAAATTTGGACTTCAGGGTTTTATATTTAAAATATTCAAGTAAGAGCAATGGCCACCTTGTAATTCACTTTTTTCTACAAGTTTTCTAATTTCTTTACAACAATCCTAATGACTAGCTCTGTGGGTTATTGTTATCATTAAGCCCATCACTCACTTGTTGCCTGATATATGACGTCTTTGATAACAGACTGTTGTATATATGGTGTGTGTGTGTGTGTGTGTGTGTGTGTGTGTGTGTGTGTTTAGGCAGAAGTTTCTTTCCTGCCTTCCTGTTCCAAATTCCCAGCAGCCACTTCCCAAATAATTGACTCAGGCTTAATATTACTTAAAAATGCTCAACTGGTTGCTCAGGCTTATTACTAACTAGCTCTTACACCTACATTAACCCATAATTCTAATCTGTGTTTAGCCATATGGCTTGGTACCTTTTCTCAATGTGCCATTCTCATCTTGCTTCCTCTGCATTGGGCTGGCAACTCCTGGTCTCTACCTTCCTCCTTCCCAGCATTCTCAGTTTGGCTTTCCTGCCTAACTTCTTGCCCAGCTACTGGCCAGTCAGTATTTTATTAAGCCAATTTGAATGACAAATCTTTACAGTGTATAAGAGGATTATTCCACAGCATTTCCCCTTTTTTGTATATTTAAAAAGGAAGATTTTAACTTTAACATAGTAAGATTATACACAACAAAAATAGTTATTAAGTAAGAATTACAGTAACACTAATCCATTTGCATTTGGCAAAATTAGAAAAATAATTTTATCTTGGTGAGTCTCAAGTTTTGTATCTAATTTATTTTTTATTATAACTAAAGAAAACTATAACTATAGTCTTTAACTCCATCAAAGATGACAGAAGGATGTAATGTTATCTAATGATAGGGACATCACACTGCCTGGACAGTCACCCAAAGTTTCTCTACAATGTTGGGATATTCATCTTCAGCTTATAGTCCTAGCATATCTGACAGGCTTTTCTGTGAAGCAGGGTTTTTGAAGAACTGCCCCACCTTGTCATGGCAAAGTTCTGCAGTCACTTTTGTGTCCTGCTTGTCCAGTTTGTACAGCATATTGTCAGCAGTCGAGCAAGGGCACGTTCTTTATCCACATGGCTAACTTTTGCTATAAAGTAAACAAACTTCATATGGAGTGTCTTTGATGCCCATCTTCCTATTTCAAGTAATTGGTGCTACCAGGAGCAGATGTGTCTCACTGTTGAGAAAAGTCTAAGTTCTTAAAGCATTTAAAGTGCCATATTCTATAGGTCTTTGAAGTGTTTGAAGATTGCCTATCTATCTGAAATATATCTCAGTATGACCTTGAAAACATACCTAATAATGACTAAGTTTGATATTATAGATAACTATTAATCCATATTTAATTATATATTACATTTTTAAATGAGCTGCATAAACATAATACCCTAAACAAAAGTAGAAATATACATATAGTATAACAAAATTAACTTTAAATTTATATTAATAAACTGAAATCATACTGATATAAAATATGTAAGATTAACAGTTGTTTTTTGGATGAAAATGAGTAAAAATATACATACAGTATAACAAAATTTATGTCATTAAACTAAAATCCATCCTGATGTAAAATATGTAAGATTAACAGTTGTTTTTGGATTAACATGAGTAAAAACATACATACAGTATAACAAAATTAACTTTAAATTCATATCAAGAAACTAAAATCCATCCTGATGTAAAATATGTAAGATTAACAGTTGTTTTTTGGATTAAAGTAGATTTAATAATTACCCTTTTTCCCCATCATTTCTATATCATATCCTTCTTTCTTCTTTTAGAAAGAGATTGACTATGATCAATAACAATTTGTAACCAAACCCCCTAAACAAAGACAAACATCCATAATCCAGTTTTTTGGGAATGTGGACATAGCTTTCTAATTTACTTCCCTCTGATTGGGCTTGCTGTTAATCTTATATGAACCCTGAGAAAATTTAGGATTATGGTCAAGTCCTGACTGGAGTAGTCTGTGAGACTGGATCATCTCAGCCAGCAGCCTTGAAGCCTTTCTGGATGCAGAACTCAGAGGAAACTGCAACAGAGGCACTCTGAAACATTGGATAATCTAGGCCGTTCTCATTAAAATTTTTTTTCAGGAGTTCTTCCTCAATCATATCTGATTTTTCTTAACACTGAATGAATCTACAGCCTCTCATTTCCTGTGGAAATGAAAGCATACCCTCTTCTCCAAAGTAACATATCTTTTGACTTAAATTTTGAAGGCATTTTCAAATATATAGGTTGGATTAATACAGCAACATTTACAATCAAATGTCTCTTAGCAGCTGTTGCTCCTTCCTTAGCTGCCAAACAATTCAAAGACAATGCAATAACATACAGTATCCAGACTCTTTGTGTATTTTCCATCTCTATGTGGCTTTTTTATATTACTTTACTCCCCTTTTAAAGACTATTATTTCTAACTTTAATGACTGCCTATGCCTTCTCTTTACTATCCCAAGCCTACATATATTTTTAAATACACTGTAACTTGCTTAGAGATTTTTTGTTTTTTTGTTTTGAATCTGTCTTACCTGCATATCTCTATCTTTTTCTGACAGCATGAGCATTTAGGCTGCTAAGCCAGTGTGGGTAGGAGTAATGCTTTGACCTTGTCAGCTGGCTCCACCCCAATCTTTGGTTCTTTGTGAAGCTAGTCTATGGTGGAGGCACAGCTGAAAGCCATATTTACCACTCTTAACTCTGAGAAGTTTTTGGGTTCACGCTGCCACCGAGTAATGTGCCACCCACTGCTCATAATCTCCATTTAAGTATTTGGTATCAGGGCTTTGTAAAAAGGCACTTGTTTTTTGCCATTAATGCAGAGTCAGGAAGCCATCTCTTAAAGGAGCTGAGCCTCTGCTCACTGCCAGCAAACAGAGCCTGAGAAAAGATGGTTACCAAGAAGCTGCATTTGACTCTGTTTTTTTGTGTTAAGAATCCTTTTTTATTTTAAAGCTTTCTCAGGTTTTACGTGGAAGTTCTTGCCAAACATTTGGGCACCACATGTAGGTGGAAGTTTCTTTCCTGCCTGTTTGTTACCAAATACCCAGCAGCCACTTCCCAAATAATTGACTCAGGTGTTTGTTTTTTCTTTTTTTTTTTTAACCATAGAAAATACCATCATTTATTACATGCACTTAAAATTTAACACAAATCAATGTCAACCACTTTTTGAGTACACAGTATGAGAAATGTCAACTAAAGATCCATGTATCTAGCAGGTGATACCACATTTTAGGAGCAGCACACAAGGGTGATAATTGTAAGGATGAAATAATTACATAATTATCCCAGTTTTAGTGTCTTACTTTTTTTTTTCTAATTTTAAAGCATCTTAGGATTTTAAATACAAGCAGTTACTTTTCAAGCACTTTTCAAGTGCTAAATTCTGTATTCTTTTCTTTTCTGTATTGTCATGCTTTGAAAGACAATTAATTGGCTTAGATGTTCATTGTAAGTAGCTCTCTGAAGCTTTGCTTTCTAACATCTGCTTTTACAGAGACAGCTATGATGGTTGGTTGTTGACCATCCCCTTCTTTCCTTCTTTTTTGTTATAATCTTTTACAATATAGTCTTGGGGAGCTGATGCTAT